ATATATTTTGAAGGAACTCTCTTTACATAAAATTGTTTAAACAATGTATTTGTAATAAAAACAATTTGGGTGTAGTTTTACTGATTTTAGTGATGATTCACTAAAAGCTTTTTCACAGGTTTTTCTAACCTTTACAAGAAAAAGAGAGATTTATAGCTGGAAATGATAGGTTTGGTTCTGTGAACCATATCCTTGATTTATGGCTAAAGATGCACAGATATGTCATTTTAAGACAAAATATTAACCCTTGCTTATAAAGTCAAAAACAGGATTTCATTTATAAAGTAACCAAAACGATTATCTGCAGAACCTCAATAAATTGATTTTTTTAATATATAAAATTACCCAGGATTCATGAATCACAACCTGTAATGTGTTTCATTGCAGTTTTATGTAACAGACCAACCTGAAGTATGACATAATAGTATAAACAAGGCACCACAATATTTCAACATGGTAGAAGCATAAAAAGTTGAGGAGTATGCCAGACCTTGCTCCCTCCTCGCTCTGAATTCTATAAAGGAAGCCATTCATATTCTGATGGACAGAGCATCCATATGTACCGGATATTTGTCCACTACCTCTCCTCTTTTCTTCTTTCATTTCATCACATCTCCCTCCCTTCTTCCTCCACATGGACACCTTGACCCTCGGCCTCTCTCCTCTGGGCTCCAGGCGAGTCAGCTCCCTCAGCTCTGGCATCTTGGCCTTCCTCCTCCCTGTCCCCTGCTCCCATCTCCTCCACAACATGATCATCCTCCTCCGCCCTCTCTCCCTCCTCCTCCTCGTCATCCTTCTCGCTTCTGTCTGAATCTGACTCATCAGAGTTGTCCTCTTCCAGGTAGCGGTAGCCTTTCACCTGAGGGTAAAAACATAAGCTTTTATTTTTACTCTCTACTTAGATGTTTTACAATCCAACCATGATTTACAAGACCCCAGCCGCTCCTGCACAACTGAGTTTACAGATTTTTTTTAGATGTTCATAACAAGGTATAAAAACGAAGAAAATAAAGTCACTAAATTAACAGGTCTAACATAAAAAAACGGGAAATGATTCAATTAATTTAATTATCTTAGATTATGTCCTTAAAGTTTTATTACAGTAAATGGAAGACTATATTGTTTCTGTTTAGATAGGATAAATACATTTACTTCTTAATAGAGGCGGGAATGATAAGTAAAATTTTTTTTTGCTTTAAAGGCTGCCTTGCTCAGTCACAATTTTAAAGCCAAACATCAGTACTTTAAACCCCTTTTTCTAATGAGCATGTTTAGGGTAACTGTCCATTAGGAACACCCATTTTCACTAAAGATTCAACTACATAAAGATGTTTTGGGATGTCTCTATATTTCCAATTAATGATCTTTTCTAATGATGCACCGGTTCCTTCTGCAGCAAAACAGCACTTCAACATGATGCTGCCTCCACTGTTGTCCACAGATCGCCTCACATTTGCCCACTTTTCATCTTCCCCTTTAAATATAACAAACGTTTTACCCCAACACTTCAATTTTAGTTTTATCAGACCAGAAGTCATGTCTCACACATTCCCTCAGCCTCATGGGCATTTCTCTTAACCCTAATCATAAAGTCAACTACCAGCTTCAGCAAATATCTTTGCAAATAATTTTTTCCTCTCAAGTTGTTATGAAAATTCCCCAAAACACGTCTCTCCATATTCTAATAAAAATAATAATTTTAATAGAATTATTAATATTTGCATTTTATTGTTGGTCAGCGCTGTTGCAATACATTGTTGCCGATCTCACCCAAACTACACCACTCTAAAGACACACCCCTCTGGCGGAGGTTTTAAAAACACTAGCTTCCCATATTAGCATCCAATTTGCTGGTGGCTCTGCGCCGCTAACGGCTAGACAAAAGCGCCCCCAGCTGGATGCTATGCGACGTAGCAACCAAACCCCTCAGGAGAAGGGGTTTGGTTGCTATGCTGAAGTGAGTCAGAATGCCCTTTTTATGTGATTCAGAAGGAGCTGAACACAGTTAGATGCGGACCTTGACTGCCTGAGGCGGAGCAGCGCTGAAGGAATGCTGCTAGAAGCTGCGACTACGTGCTAACCACCGTAGCTAAATGGGACACGTCCTGTGCTACCATGAGTTTTAAAATCAACCCCTTATTGTTACATCGGATTGATCCAAATCTCTACGGACTGGACTGAAGATGGGTCTGCAGAAACCCGGACCAAGCCGAAGGCCTTCACTCCACCGAACCAAAACAGTTACTGCATCCTTCCCCCTCCTTTCAATGATGCTTGATAAGTGCTCTGCTTGGGTGAACTAGGTAGACTAGATAGCCGTGTTTGTGTTTTTATTTGAAATAAGCTTTCTGATTCAACTGCTGATGGTTTTAAAGGTTTAACTGAATGCTAATGCTCACTACAGACAGAACGAGTCACGTGTTGCTGAAGCTAACTGCTACATCGTGAGCTAGCCCTCTCTGTGTTTCATTTGGACCCGACCGGAACCAGAACCCCTCAGGCCAGCTAAGCTAACGGGTCTTTTAGTCTCATCATACTTTAATGGATTCCTGAGTCATTATTCATTTTAAAAAATTGAATGAAACTTCACTGTTTTGACTGCAGTTAACATCTGTGTCAGGTTTTATTTACATTTTATCTGGTTCTATTACAAAGGACACTATTAATTACATTAAGCCTTAACTTCGAACATCACCCGGACTATGAACGGACTTTTAAACCCCTCCTCCTCTTTTATTTCTTTAATTTTGCTTATTTTCAGTAGTGTTTGGTTTTGCTTAGTTATAAGATATAATACTGTGTGATTGTAGCTAATAAAGGTACCATTGTATTTTTAAGCCGTGGTCTTTTGTGTTCATTTTACATAGTGAATGATTTATCACTCAGGCTGGATTTGCTCTTCTTCTGTAGCATCCGAATGAACAGAGAACCATTTATTTGGTCGGTGATTAATAACGTTGCTAAGAGTAAGCAAACAAATTCAGTAAACAAGTTACAGTTATATTAATTCAACTGATAATAAAACACTAGCTTTACCCTTGATTTGAATGACCTATTGGCACAACAGCACTATTACCTTTTTTACTTTAACTGTGGAGTAAAGACTTTACATGTTCTGTTCTCAGTTTGCATTTCACACAGGAAGATTATTAATGTTGCGCAGCCTCCTACCTCCTTTCCTGTGTTGAACATTATTAGCTTCTGTTTAAATGAAAACACATTTAGAACATTTGATGACTTGATGTGTGTAGTACGTTTTTTGTTAGATGACACAATCACACTGTGCTGATGGCACCACTGATCTCTATTTATTCACTGAAATGCTGATAGCCCATTGTTAGCCACCGGTCGCCATATTGTTACTCCCTGGTTAGACTGGGCGCAATGTAAACAATATCTGCGCTAAAGCATCTAACAAAGATGATATTTTCAGGAGGGGCTTAAGACTTATGAAATAAAGATAAATTTATCACTTGGACACAAGTGATTAAGTAGATTACACAAGTGATGTAATTAGATTACTGTAATTTATGATTAAAAAAAGGCACTTTACATCGCATAGTCATTATGAAGTCTATAAATCATGTAATATGAAATATTAGACAAATCCATCACAACAAAATTCATGTATTAATTGAGCATAATAATACAGAAGTGCCAAAAGTTCTAAATTGGTGATGTACATGAAATATACATGCCTTGATGACATTGTTATGGTAATTACATATTACATATTACGAATTTCACATCAAGACTGAATTAGAAGTACATGTCTGGTAATGCTACTGTATTTGCCTATTTGCAAATTGTGCATGCATGATGCCATATACTTTAATGCTCTGTCTGTGCATTAGCCTTTAAAAGAAGGTTTGAGTTGCTTTTTTCCCCATCAATATAACGTGCAATATATTTCAGCACATGAATTTTTCAAATGAGAAATACAACAAACACAAAAAAAACGACAGCATCATCCACTTAATAAAGAATAACGACATTGACATTTTACAGTCAATTACTTTCTATTTACTCTACTTTATATTTTCTAACGTTAGACACAATGTCATTGGCTAACTCACTCAATGTCATCGAGTCGGTCTTAGATAGCCAGACTAATGTTAAACTACATACTATACTATGGGATAGTGTATATCTGTGTATATATGGATTTTCTTGGTTGGTACATCCACTGACTGTGAGATTACCTGTGAAACATCTTCCCATAGCCCGCAAACTGCTTGTACTTGCAGCCAAATGCTACACACATCGCCATTTTAATGGATTACCGGGAGTGGAGAGTGGAGAGTACCAACATGGCCGCTGGTAGCTTCCCTTTTTTCGGGCTATCAGCAATCCAGTGAATTAATAGAGATCAATGGATGGCGCCATTAGTTTCCCTACCCAGGACTGACTAATCTGGGTTAAAATAAGAAGTTATCTACTGCACGAAAGATATAATATACTTTTAACTTTTTTAACAAAACCTTTTTTTTTATGCTTTCCCTTTAAATATGTGCCATCAAGCAAAGAAATGGTAATATTCAGAAAATGTAAAAGGATTTAGTCAAGGCTGAACTTCTAATTGCAGGAATATTAGAGTTAAAAATAGTATCATCCAGATTTAGGATCAATTCATCCAAATCACCAAAATAATTTAAGGGCTTAAGTTTGGGTGCAGGGTGGTGGGTTACCTTGTGGCGTGGCCGTGGGATTCGGGGCATCCTGTGCTGCACTTTCTGTGCCACGCGACGCTCCATCACCCAATAACAATAGCACGCCAACAACAAAGTGGCCAGCAGGATGGACAGTTTAGCCTAAAGGCCAAAAAGGAAAAATGTCAAGGAACTATTTTAACACCCAAGATACATGGAGGCGAAAACTCTGAATAAAATGTACCCTCATGGGCATCTGAGACCAAAGATAGACAACAAAGATGGCGATGGCCTGCCACCAGTGATAGATGGTGTAAACGAAATCCAGACGTTCTTTTTCCTCAGCGTACAATATGCCGATGACAGCTGAGGGCACACAGACAAGGTTAGGGGTAAAAGAAATTATTGATAGAGCATAGATACATTTATAGAACAATGCCATAAATAAATAAAACAAATAAGAGAATATTCATGTTTTCTATGCTAACCTTTTTATCTCTATATTATTGAAAGGACTGCTGCAGCTCTCTATATACAGTGATTGATGACTGTCCTCTGCCTCATCTATGGCTGCTCTGAAACGTCATCTGACTGGAAAAAGGACTGTTTACCTGTATGATTTATGATTGTCTTAAAGCTTTTACTTGTTTCTGAAAGGTTTAAACACTGCTGACGTATTGGAGCTTTTAACCCTTTAAAGCCTGATCCAAGTATAAAACAAAACTGTCAAGATTTGAAGGTGTAAAAAACATAACAGAAACAGAAACCTAACAAAAACAGAAAATTACATTTTTTTTGGTTTGAAGTCCTTATTTGGACTTTTAACAAAATATGTAAAAAGAAAAAACAGATATAAATTTTTGATATTAATAATTTATTACTATGCATTAAGTCGAGATTATTTTTTGTGTAGTCTTTTGCCCTCTGTTATCAGGTATATCTGATTGTGTACAATAGGGTTTTGAGCAAAGTTTTTACCATTAAATTATGCAAAAGGTGTCAGACGCAAAACATTTCAGAAACCGTATGTATCAAATATGATACATTTGGCATTACAGGGTTAAACAAGCCTCTTCCCAGTAAACTCTGCCATCAGGTAAGCTGCTGCTGTCAAATGCTCCAAGACTCATCATGTGATTTGAGGAGATGGAGCCTTCAATTTTCAATGATAATCAACTTATTATAAGGATGGCAAATACCAGGAAAGATTATAAATGTCCTTTAAAACTCTTCTTTTTAATTGGGCTTTTATTCCCATCAATCAACTTTTATCAACAGTTTTTAATTCCTTGACTTGTATTGTCTTTTAATTGCTCTTATTCTGTTACTTTGCTGTAGATGTTACATTTTAAGGCCTTTTTTATGTTCTTGCTTGTTTTTATGGAGCTGTGCACTACTTCCATCATCATTATCATCATCATCATCATCACAGCTGATACTCACTGCTGACACCTGCTTTGTTCAGGGCGCTGCCGAGTCCCCAAAGCACCATGATCACCAGCAGGGGGCCCAGATACTCTGGTGAATTAGGCTTAACAGACAGAGCGAGGAGGACCACCAGCAGGATCCCGTGCACCACAGCGCCCCCCATTAGACACACCCATCGTGGTAGGCGTAGGAGGCTGAGAGAGAGGAGGGAGAATACGGAGCAGGAGAGGCCGTAGACCACGATCAGGATCCAGAGGCTCTTTAGGCCCAGAATACAGACCCCATAGGACTGTGGGGGAAATAAAATCATGGCATTAATTCCCAAAAAAATCAGACTATCTCTGTAACTGGCAGGTTACTGTAGAAAGTCAGTGTAGTTCAGTACCAGCGAGAACCCGCTGATAACGAACAGCATTTCCAGTCCGCTGTAGATGAAAAAGGGGCAGAGCAGCCGCAGGCGGTAATCCCTCAGGTGTTTAAAAGGAAGTTGGAAGATGTTCCCCCAGCCGATGCTGCGGAGGTCGATTTCCTCTGTTGGCCGGTAGGCGGGGCCACAGAGCAACAGGAACTATGGGGGGGGGAAGGCACATCTGAAATACACTGAGTAAATCATAAAAAATCAACTCCTAATCAGAGGAGTTTGGACTGTGTGGAAGACACAGTCAGAAAGACAGGAGCTCTTAGCTGTTACTTTTCAACACAGTCCATCTTAATACTATTTTACAACTCGAATTACTTCACATTTAGACACTGCTCAGTTTATCACCATTAAACAGTATAATATAACTAGAAGATATAAATCTAATTGGCCGGTATTTAATCAGAGAAGCGGCCAAGAGGCCAAAGCCATCCATGAAAGAGTTGCAGATGCCCACAGCTCAGATGGGGGAATCTGTTAAAGAAGAATGAAAAAGCCAGAAGAATGGATGTTTGCAGTTTGCAACAGGTCATATAGAAACACAGCAGTAAACCTGTTGAAGAAGCTGGTCAGATGGGACCAAAATAACAGTTTCTAGCATGTATGAAGAATGCAATCCCCCTCGCCCAGAACACACTTTAAAACATGGTGGTGGCAGCATCATGTGGTGGGCCTGCTTTAATTCTGCAGGGACAGGGAAGCAGATTAGAGCTGAACGGAGGATGGATGAAGGTAAATAAAGTTCAGAAATACGCTCTACTTTCTGATGGTTTATCACATAAAATACCTACGCTGAAGTTTGTGATTGTAAAAAGAAAAAAAAAAACAATACTTACAGCATTATTTCTACTTTCTAGATCCTAATTATATTTCTAATCAAATTTCCTTTTCTTTCTTGGCTTTTTCAGTGACCTTATTAGTGCAAACAACAAGAAATTATGCTTCTGTTAGACAATATATATAAAGACCATATTATCTACAGATCGTAACAGGAACTGAATCTAGGATGTAGTTCTGAGGGGAAGGGAAAGACTGAGCAGTAAATAGTCAAATACTTAGTTGTTCGTCAAAGAGTAAGTCTATAATTAAAGTCCTTTTATGGTTAAAAAAACAACCAAAAGATGCATTTAAGGAATAACCTGAATGTTTCCTATGCTGAGCTCTTACGATAATCATGGAGAGGAAGGCGAAGCCCATCAAGATGCTCTCCACCTCGATGAGCAACATGGAGCGCGGCAGGTTGGTCAGCACTGTGCTGTTGAAGCCTGGGATGATACCTCTGATTGCAGCGCCTGAATGTCAGACAGAAAGGATTCAAAGTTTTAGGCGCAGCAGGTAGTTTTTAGGCAAAACCATCCAGAGATTTTTCCAACAAGTTTCCAAAAGTAATAAAAGTTAGTTTTAGAATACGTGGATTGTAAGGATAACAAACAAAAAAAAGGGGGAAACTATCAGGATTTTAATGACAGGTCACACTTTGTGTTGTTTTTTTTTTTGTTGAATAAACAAGAGGAAAAGCGACAAAATGTACTTCCACTCGAAATCATCTGAACTACCTCTTTTTAGAAACATACAAAAGCCGCTTTAGGCGACACGCTAATACAAACGTGAAGCTTTCATTGTTCAACAGGTTTCTACCACTGGGACGGTATTGTAGATGTTAAACCCAAAGCAGCAGCAGAAATATCTCAAATCATGATCTGGCTGCAAACAAGTTTCTTAGCAGCAGAGTTTCATTTCCTCATGAAAAGGGGGTTTTGAACTGGAGAATTGAATATAAGGAAATCTACCAAGTGGGCTGGGGAGTTTGAAGCACTGCTGCCTAACAGCAAGAAGGTCACAGGTTCAATTCCCATCCTAAGGTCTTCCTGCATGGACTTTGCATGTGTGTTAGTGGTTGTATGTCTCTGCCCTGCTACAGACTGGTGACCTGCTCAGGGTTTACCCCGCCGTTCGCTCATAGACTGCTGGAGATAGGCACCAGCCGCACCACTACCCTGTGACGGATAAGAGGAAGCAAATGGGTCAATCAAGATTTGCAATCCAAGGTTAAATTAAGAAAAACAAGAAGCCCCTTGGCATGAGGCAAAAATACAAACCACCGTAAATGTAACTGCCTCATAGCCCTCAGTAGTCACAGATAGATACATTCTTAGCTGGGAAAGGTCTCTGCGTCTCTATTTGGAAGTTATTCAGATTAACACGGCGTATATCAATGCAAAGGTTTACAGAAACAAAGGACGGTACAACAAAAACACACTTTAAGACATAAAGGAACTATTCTCAGAAATGTAAAGTAAACCCATTCTGGTTTTAACTTAACAGAGTTGGGTTAGGGCATTATTAGCCATTATTAGCCTTAACTAGATAAAACCTGAAATGAATCTACAATCTCATTCTAAAGAGGAAGATAGCACCCTCAATAATTGATATATCAAAGAATATATTAAAAAAATGATACATTTATTCATCTTGTTATCCTGGCAGGGCCCCTGATGCTTGTTTAGCTGCCAAAGGGCGAGAGGCAAGGCACAAAGAAACGGTGTCTTTTTTTTTCTTCTTTTTTTTTAACCAGGAGTGCTAATAAGTGTGGAAGATGTAGAAAAACGTTAGAGTTCATGGAATAAATCTAGAAACTCGTAAAAGCATTATAGAATAACATGATACTCTGTGTTTTTATTTTCTGAGCAGTGGTGAACAGTGGAAATGAGGTGTGTTTACCGCATGTCTTCACATTGAAGAGGATGTGTGGGTTTTCATGCAGGTGGTCATGGAGGACGAGACGCATGGGGAACTCAGCGAAGACGAAACTCAGCTGATGTGGAAGAAAACAGATGACATACAATTCAGCTGATTTCTTCTTTTTCTTCAGAGTCAGTTTTGTATCTGAGGTACTGTGGGGGGGGAGGAAGAAACTTACACTGAAGATGAAGAAGAAAACTGACTGGAAGACGATGACATAGCTGTGACACGCCCCCTTTGGAAGCTTTCTCTGCTCCTGCACGTGTTCCTCCTTGTAGTTGGCGTACTCATAGTACTGCTGGGCCATCCTACAGAGGAGGGAAAAGGTGTGATAACATGAGCTTAAAGAGAAAAAATTAAATGCCATTTTCAAAACACAGGTAGATAAAATGGGACTTTTCCAGAGACTAATATAAAAAAACAGTTGTCAAAAAATAACAGTAGAGGTATATGATTGCACAAACATGACCTTTTTGACAGCTAAAGCGGTGATCATGTAAAATAATATAACAATATAGTCAAAATGCATTTACAAAACAAAAACTTAACCTCTTGATGAAAAACCAAAATTTGCAAAAAGTCATTTACGGTGCAAAACCTTTAACCCTTCTAAAATGGGTTGTGTTCATTTATTGCTGAGTTCCACAACTGACAGCCTTCATAGAAAACGACATTTACTCCTTAAAGAGACCATAATTCTCACACTAGATGCACCATAGGTCATTGACCCACAGTGGAGAATTCTCTTTGCATATAGGAAAGCTAAACCTCCCCTGTAAATTTAGTAAAGTTATTGGTAAAATATTAAATATTAATATATTAAACATGTGCTAAAATGCATCTGATTTAATGAATATTGTGCGCTTTAATCAGCTGTTTATTCCGCTATCCTCTGCTCTGGAGCAGCGGGACGCTGGCAGTCAGACTCTATGAGAAATCCCTGTTGAGGTTTAAGCCTCGCTCTACTGAAGTAAGCAGCAAGAAAGTAGAGCCCTGATTGGATAAAGCGTCACAAGAAGTAACTTCAGGGTAAGTCTTAACCTCCTAGAGGGTCATGCTCCTAAAGAACATGATCCTGAAATGCCCAAATAGGCTTCCTGTCAACCACTCTCATCATTTTCCTTGAACCCCAGTCGGCCTCAGCAGATGGCTTCTCACACTGAGCCTGGTTCTGCTGGAGGTTTCTTCCTGTTAAAAGGGAGGTTTTCCACTCCACTGTCGCTATAAGCATGCTTGGTGTGAGGGATTGCCTTCGATACAATCAACTGGTTTTCCTTAGATAGAAATCTTTGAACCAATCTGACTGTATGATCTGGTTGAATTGTCTAAAGTGTGTTGAGATGACGTGTTGTGAATTGGCACTATATAAATAAACTGAATTGAATTGAATGTGGAAAGGATCTTTATAGTGCTAAAATGTCAAACCATGCTTTAAAAAGGTACCACATTTTGACAAAAGCTCATTGAGGGAAACTGCATGAAAGAGTCATTCAGGGTTGAAATGTTGTGAAAGGGCAGAGAGCGGGTAAGAGGAAACTACTTTATCAACAAAACTTTAGAAAAATGGAAATCTCTTCTTTTATGCTCAAACGCTACAGCATTTGAGCAATAGAAAACATTGAGGAAAAAGAGATATGGATGGTTTATACAGTGAAGGTTTATTTTCCTTTCTTCAGACCCCTGTCTTCATGGATCCCAAAGGGGGGTATCGAGTGCTACTATTGGTAGCTATCCTCCGAGGAGAAGCATTAGCGAGGAGATAAGATGATACTTTTTTTAATAATGCAACTTATAGTTTGACTCAGGGGGACCATCATATTAAACCAGCTCAATGTCTAATATTTAAACCATGATCGTCTTAGCAGATTGAACTAATTTTAGATTTAAGGCATCTGCTTCCTTATCCGTCTTGAGGGCCATTTTATTTATACTAGTACTTTAAAACGAACTGAATGGTTCATAGGAAAGTGTTTTTGATGATTTTTGTTGTGAGCACCTATAAACTGTAGAAATAATCAAAATGCCTAGAATGACTGGGATGGATGTAACAGATCTCAGACTTGTGCTTTATACAGTATCTTGGAATCACCATCTTTAAATAAATTTGAACTGTAATTTGTCATTTTGGCCTTTTTTTTTTTTTTCCTCATGAATTATCAACCATTTTCAATGTTCCAAACTCCTTTCATTGCAAAACACCGAATAATACCGATTCAACAATGAAAACTAGATTTAACCTCACATGATGTAG